CTAACACTCTACCACTTGAGCCACAGCGCCACTTCCGGCTTTTTTCTTTTTGCTTATGTGGTGCTGAGGAATTGAACCCAGGGCCTTGAGCATGCAAGGCAAACGCTCTACCACTGAGCCACCTTCCCAGCCCCGCAGTTCCACTTCTAACCTTTGGAGATGAGTCTCACAGACTTTCCTGCCTGGGCTGTCTTCAAATGGTGATCCTCAGATCTCAGCCTACTGACTAGCTAGTATTATAGGTGTGAGCCACCATTTCAGGCTTCTTCTTTTAAGTGGTCTATGCTATTAAGGTTGGCCTCTAACTACTGACCTCATGTCATCCTTCTGCCCCAGCCAACTGGTGCACATCTCTCCTGACTGTTCTAGCAGAGGAGCTCTGGGAGATGAGTGGATTAATTGATGGCTCTTGGAAAAGGGGCTTATTTCAAGGCTGAGAGAGAAGCACAGGTCCCACAACTGTCACTCCCCCCAAACATTCAAGAGCTTGCTGAGAAGGTGGGCTGGACACAGTGGGAAGACTTCCTTTCTTCAGAATAGCTACTCTGGTTGAGACCTAGCACCCAGAGGCTTCTAACTTATAGCACACTGCCACCATGTGGGCAAACAGGGAGCAACAGCAATGGCTGCCCTATCTAGACAGTCCTAACTCACTAGCTGAACCGGTGATACTTTGGAAACTTTATTAAAGGTTAAAAAGGGTGTTAGCACTGGGTTCTATTGGTTGTCCAACAATAAATACGGGCTAGAAGGTGAGCTCAGAAGGGCAGGAGCAGGTGATGGCTGGAGCTTCATGATGTAGAGTCCTGAGAGGCCATAGAACCAACTGGAATAAAACGCTAGAGAGACAGAGAGAGAGAGAAGTCTGTCACAATCTTATTATCACTCACTGAAGGAGCTGAGGTTAGTCCCTCCCACTATCTCCTCCCCCCCCCCCCGACTTTTCACAGGTTGGCTGTGCAGACAGTGTCTGGTTGGACATTGAAGCTCACCAGGGCTTCTTGCCATTCAAGCAACTCGGCCACAGGGTTGGTGCAGACCCTAGTGGTGCCGGGGGGAGGGGTCCGGCTGGTGTAGAAGGCGCACTCATCATCCAGGCGGGCCTCATGCGAGTGGTGGATGGCAGTGAGACAGGCTTTGAGGCGTTGCCTCAGGGCCAGCGTTCGAGGAGCCAGACTGCTGGGGCCTGAAGGTGGGCCATGGAGAGATTAGAAGGCTCTGGAGTCTTCCATTGTCACCCTGCCACCCTGCACTGCCCTTCTCCCTCCCCCAAGAAAGAGTTATAGCGCGTGCGTGCGTGCATGCGTGCATGCGTGGTGTGTGTTAGTCTTGAGGCTTAAACTCAGCCTGAGCAATATCTCCGAGCTTTCTTGCACAAGGCTAGTGCTCTGCCACTTGAGCCACAGTTCCATCTCTGGCTTTTTGTTGGTTAATTGAGGATAACTGTCCTGCCAAGGCTGGCTTCAAACTGCAATCCTCAGATCTCAGCCTCCGGAGTAGCTAGGATTCCAGGTGTGAACCACCGTTGCCCAACTAGCTCCTTCCTTCTTTCTGAGAGCCAAGCTGTGGTTGGTGGGATAGCATCACCTGGCATAGTCCAGGGGACTGCTCCAGTGACAGGATCCCCTTCCTTCCTACCCCTTCCCAGATACCTCCTTACCTGCCTGACCTGTCGTGGGCTTCTGAGACTGAAGTGAGTGGATAGGGGGGCTGGCACAAAGTGGGCGTTGGGAAGAGAAAGTCAGGCTGGTGGTTGCCGGTGTCCCCTGATTGCAGCGGAGCCACAGGCTGGAATCTGGGCTTTTAGGTTCCAGGGAGTAGTAGGCTACTGATGCTCCCTGCTCTACCCTAGGGCAGGCCTCCGGGAGTCCAGCATGCTGCTCAGGGGGACTAGACTGATGGAGTCCAGGTAGTGCTGAAGTACAAGGCTCTGGGATCTCAGGCTGTTCCTGGGAGAACTCTGGTGTCTCTGGCCCAATCCTACAGCAAGATTCTGGGGGCCCTGGCTCTGGTGGAGGGCAAAGCTGTGCCATTTCAGCCTCTACTCCAAAAACGGGCTGTGGTTCCTCACGCTCCTCTGGGAGGCAGGGCTCTGGCAGCCCAGAATGCTTTGACAGTCCAGGAAGGTAGGATGTCCCAGAATTATGCTCCGGGGCATTCAGAGTTTTCGAAATCTCAGTCAGTAGAGGCTGAAGTTCAACCATATCCAGAGAGGAGCCTCCATTAAGAGGAACACACTTGCCCATTGCCAGCCCCTCCATCTCCTGTTGCAACAGCTGCTGCAGGATACTGATGCGCTGTGGTAGAAGGGAGTACCCCAGTGTGACATCACTGTGAGTTCACGTGGTCTACCCACATGGCTCTCTTCCCATACTCCCTGTGTCCTCCCAGCTCCCGCAACTGTAGCCCTCTCATACTCCAGCAGGCTTCAAAGCTGCCACCCTACAGACCCACCTGCATCCTTAGTTCTTGGAGGTTGGGGTTTGGACTTGGGTGTGGTCCAGAAGGATTTGTCATAGTTGGGCACCCAGACCTCTCCTGCATCCTGACACAACCATCCTGGTCAAACAACTGTACAGCAATCTGCTCCTGCCACACAGGAGGAAAGAGGGGGCAGGTGAGGAAGCCAGGCAGAGGCAGGAAGATCAGTCTGAATTTCACCACCATAGGATTGATCAAAGTCCCTGAGAGACTCTAGAAGAGCATATGCCTTAAAAACTAGTTTGGACCTATATATAATTCAGCACTCCTACTGCTTCAATCCTGAGACAGTAGGGTTGAAAATTTGAGACTAGTCTGGGCTACTGTCTCAGAAGAAGAAAAAGGGCCTGAGAAGCAGCAGAGAAGCAGGAAGAGGTGGTAAGACAGTTTCTTAAGACAGCACACTTGCCTCAAACTCAAACTACCAGGCCTCCAAGCCAGTGGAACCATGCCAAAGACAGAAGTAATACATGGCTTCTGATACTTACCCAAGGTGTGGCAGGCTCTCCAGGACAAGACTGAGGAGAGAGGCCACTGGACCATCGGGCCTGTAATCAGAAGTGAAAAGTCAGCAGGGGCAAGCACCTTTGACTGGAACTCAGTCTCCTCTTGCTTTTGTCTTTGCCTCTTGCTTGCTAGGATGGCATAATACAACAGATAGACATTCCTAGCTCTGTTTTTTTTTTTTTTACTTATTACTTTTAGGATAGGTTCTTACTCCTCCCCCAGCAAGCATCTGAGCCATACCTGCCTTTTAATTTTTTGTCAGTGGTAGGGCTTGAACTCAGGGCCTGGTGCTGACCATGAACTCTTCTGCGCAAGGCTAGCACTCTACCATTTTGAGTTACAGTGCTATTTCCAGTTTTCTGGTGGTTAAATTGGAGATAAGAAACTCACAGACTTTCCTCCCTGGGCTGGTTTTGAACCATGGTCCTTGGATCTGAGCCTCCTGAGTAGCTAGGATTATAGGTGTGAGCCACCAATGCCCAGCTTTAAAAAAAATTTTTTTTTAAACAAGACAAAGCAAAGGTATTTATTATCCCAACATTTTAAAATTATATTGTCAAAGATCTAGTCAGGTGGATATGGGTAAATGATACCAATTCTCACTCTCAGTCTTGTCATTTCTCACCACCTGAGGCCTGAAGGACCCTTCTTCCACCCAGGCTATAGACCCACCTCACACAGAGCCTCTGCCTGTGGCTGGGCCCTAATCAATCTGCTTTTACAGAAGACCTTAACTTCCCTCATAACCATCCACCTCCCTTTCTCCTCAGCTATGGTCCATGGATGGTAGCTACCCCTCCCCCTCCCTCCCCACTGCCCCATCTTACCTGCTGAACTCTGGGGACTGATCGGATGGGAGTGAACTGGACTTTGGGTCGAACAGCAAGCCGTCGCAACAATGAATATGGAGTCTGGAGAGAGATATAGATATCTGAGCAGGAATAAAATCTAGGCATAGCAGCAGGTACTTTTTTTCTTTTTGCTGGCCTTGGGTTTTGAACTCAGGGCCTGGGCACTGTCTCCGAGCTTTTTTACTCAAGGCTAGTACTCTACCACTTGAGCCACAATACCACTTCCAGCTTTTTTGGTTTATATGGTACTGAGGAATCAAACCTAGGGCTTCATACAAGCTAGGCAAGCACTCTACCACTAAGCCAACTTCCCAGACAGCAGCAGGTTCTTGAGCCAGATGGTTCTGCTCTTGCCAGTCCCGAGGAGTTTTTGATACAAACCAGAGTTGGGAGGCCAGGAGATGGTACGCGCTGTGCCCGTCCAAAGGGTGATGGGTGGGTAACAGA